AAAGAGGAATTTTAGGCAAAAATTAATATATTAAACTTATCTGAAAAAGGGTGGGATTTTGTGAAACTATAAAATGTATGGAATTTAAATCCTAAGGGTCTTCTTCCCCAAAAAACTCGGTGAGAGAAAGACCCGGCGCGCTGGATAAATCCTGTTTCATGAGTTTATGTCGCCTTCCAAAATTTAAAAAAGGAATTTTTCCCACATCTCCAATTAGCACCAAGAAATTCGATCCTTGGAGCACCAGGAGATGGAATATGTCACCTCAGGAGGGGCTTTGGAGCATCCCACCCTTGGAGCATCCCACCCTTCCCGGGAACACGCCGAGCTCTGCCCGCTCTCCTCGGTTCAAGGGAAAATCCACCCCCCGGGAGAACTGAGGTCAAGTCCAAGTTCTTTTCGGGATCCACCGCCCAGGGCACACATTCCAGGCGGGAATGCCGCGGGAAAAGGGGGCTCTCACCTGCCGGGGCCGCCTTGGGCAGCTCGGTGGGGGTGGTTTTGCTGGTCCCGGGGCTCAGCAGCTTCACGTAGTTGGCGGGGAACCAACCGATCTGGCGCTTCTTCCCCCTGGCCTGGGGAGAGAACGGGGCTGTCAGGAGGGTTCACACATCGGGGAAGCCCTGGACAAGGTGGGGACCCAACACTTGAGCTGTCGGCACTCACAGTGCTTTAGAGCAGGAAAAAACTTGAGTTTTGTAAGGAAAAAACCTGCGTTTTGTAAGGAAAAACCAGCTGGTTTTGGCAGTAGTTGAACATTATAACACTTCCATTAGCATTTAAATGCTTAAAGAATTGAGTTTAAATCGATACCAGACTGTGACAGTTTAAGCAGAGATTAAGGATCCAAATCACCTCTTTTTCTTTTAAAGAAACAGCACCTGAGCTTTTCAACACCTTGTGGCAGCAGAGCGGGACAGAAACATCCCCCTGGTGCTTCCCCGACTGCCTTGGTCATTGAAACCAAAAAAATTAAAAAAATCCTGGCTGCAAGAAAGGTTATTCCACAACTCTGAACCCCATCTCAGCCTCTAAATCTGTGTTAAGAATTTATTTTAACTCTTTATTCCCTCTTTGAGTCGTTAGAACAAAGGTGGTGTTTTGGGCAGGGAGAATTTTGTCTTTGAAAAGGAACTAATGTTAAATTTTGGGGAAAAAAAGGTCATCTGACAGATTTACTATTCTTTAACCAGTTTGTCCCCTCTTTAAATCTTTACTAAAAAAGAAAGCACTTGGTCTAAAGAGCATCTAGAGCATTAATTTTAAGCTATTTGTGGATGCTGCATTAAACCAGCTTAAAACATTGGCCTGATTTTCCCTCCACTCTGACCCCCAAGTGTGGAAGAGGAGAATAAACAGAATATTTATAGAATAGTCAGGGGACTGATAATGAAATAAAAAGCAATTGTATCACATTAAAGTATCTAAAGTCACACTGAATATTTACACAACCAAAAATTAATTGTTTTAGAACCTCCCAGCAGCTGCTCAGGGAGAATTGTGGCAGATCTTGCCCCGTGAGGCTTCTTTTCTGTCTTAAAATCCATTTAATGGAGACTTTTCAAAGGTAAAAGTTACCAGCAGCATAAAGGTCAGTGAGAACAAATCCCTAAGGAATCCTGGAAGGTGATTTCTCCACAAGAGATGAAAAATTATCCCCAGAAAAGGCAAAAAGGGCTGGTGGTAACGGGGGAAAATAATTAAATTCTTTTTTGAGCCTCTGCACTGCAGAATAAACCAATGACATTTTTTCACCTGATATTCCCTGTTAAAAAGCCCAAACCAAACCCCCTCATTTAGTGGGACCAAACTGTCAAGTTCTACTCTTAAAAAAACTCGGGGGGGGGGATTCAAAAGCAGCCAAAACAACCCCTAAAATCCACCTTTCTGAGGGAACTCCAGGAAAACTCCCCAGGGATTTCCAGCCAGGCCTGATGGATCCCCTGCTGTTCTCCCTCCCAGGTTATTCCCAGATCAGGGATGGCCACGGGGGCATATTTTTGTAAATGTATTTTATCTTTAAATGCTGAACTGCAGAACGTTCTCAAAATGGTTTCTCATTGACACGTTCAGCATTCTGAACCACTAAAAAAAAAAAAAAATCATGATTTTTTTTAACGTGGAATTTTATTACAATAAAAAAAGGCACTAACTTGGAGCTCTCCTTCCCACCAACCACCTGGATTCTTCTTCCTGATGAGGATCAGCTGCCCAGGAGCCAGAGTGAGCTGTTCTGGGCCCGTGGCTGTGTAAGAGGCAATAACTTGGGCAATTTCTGGGGGAGCACAAGGGGAAGAAAAGGTTAATTTGGAAAAACCTGAACACATTCTACCCAACACTGACTGTGCTGCAGTCACTGTGGCCTTTCTTTCCAGAAAATCGTGATGTCTTTTTGCATTTCCAGGAGAACACATGGTAATTACAAAATAAATGAGAAGTTCAGGGCACTGCAGGAGAAAATAAATAATAAACCAGAAGAGATGCAACAGCTCTAGGGGTAGGAGATAAAAATATTTGAAATAGAGAATAACAATAACAAAAATAATAACAACCACAACTATACAGCTCTTAAAATCCAGTTTCCTAATACTGTTTTCCAGCAAATACAACTCCCTGAAATTCCATTTATTCAAGTCCAACCTTTGGACTGAGCTCCCTAAAAAGAGGAGCCACGTTGGTGACAAACTAATGGAGTTGCACTGAGAGGTGCAAATGAATTGATTTTTCAGGCCCAGCCCCCAAATGAACGTTTTCAAAGAGGATTTCTTTGGGAATCTTCATTCCATGGTCATTGGCACAGAGCAGGTGCTTTGTGTGACCCCCTTCCAGCCCACAGGGGCACGGAGCCCTGAGCTCACCAACACCTCTGCAAAGCACCCCCAGCACAGGCTGAGGTCTGGGCTGGTTCACAGTGGCTGGGGAAAGACAGAGAATAATTGTGGTCCCACAATTATTGTGGTCTCCCCGGGTTTGGAGCCAATTTGAAGGGACAGGAGTTTTGGGGCAGCTGGGTTTGGATGTCCCACCCACAGCTTGTAACTGAGTTCAGCCCTGGCGCCAAACCACGGGGAGGGTGAGGGAGGACGTGGTTAATCCACAAAAAGGGGGGCTTAATCCACAAAAATGGGGGCTTAATCCACAAAAAGGTGCTTTTCCTGCTGAAAAGTCCATTTCAGGTGCCAGGGCACAGCAGGTCATCCCTCAGGTGCTCCCTGCAGGGGAAGCAAGAGCAGCACGAGCAGCAGAGCCAGGGCTGGCTGGAGGGAAGGAACAAAGGGAGCTGACACCTGACATGAAAATAAACAACTGCTGAATTGAAATGGAGCAGCAAAGGATGACTGGGAAAATCAGAACTGGTCAGAGGAGCATCTGAGCCAGGGCTGAGCTGCACAGGGAGGGGGCAGGAGCAGAGGGATGAGCGACTCCAGGTCACTGCAAATGGACAGAACTCTCCTGCTGGAAGTCTGCAGGCTCCTGCATCTGCAGGGTTTCCCACAGAATTCCATCAATCCCTCCATCCTAAAGCCACTCAGGAGGCAGAATGAACACCAGCAAGCAAATCAATGGTGGGAGTTTCTCAAAATCAGGAAAACCTCTCTTGCTGCCACAGCAGTTCCCATGTTCAGATCACAATGGAAGAGGAATAAATTGACACTTTTTATCTCTCAGAACAAGAAATTGCTTGGTTTTGCCTACAAAATGTGGTTTACAAGGCATGAGCCACCTCCTGCCACCAACCAGCAGCATAGAGGGGTTTTACTCATTTATGTTAAATGAGTTACAATACAAAGCACAGGTTTAACATTCAGCTCTTGCACATCACAGGGAGGCAGAAATTCAGAGAAAAGTGTCCAGAAAAAGAAGTTTTAAAAAAAACCCCAACCCAGAAATGGCTTCTCTTCCACGAAGAACTTCTTCATTTTGTTTGTTTAAGTATTGAATTATCGAGAAGAGACTTTACAGCCCCTTCCAGTGTTAAAAGGGGTCCAAAAGAGCTGGAAAGGGACTTTGGATAAGGGATGGAGGGACAGGACAAGGGGGAATGGCTTCCACTGTTCTGTTCAGCAACCCATCAGGAAGTTTACATTCATTTGTGAGCAGACTTTTATTCTCTAGCTACCTGCTATTTATGACTGACATGTCAGAATGATCAGAGATGATGAATTATTTCATTACGGTTACATTATTTATTAACTGCATTTATTACAGTTGTTTTCATCAGTGCAAACTACTACAAAATGACCAAGCCAAACATCCTTTATTTTCATGGAAAAAATTTGGTTGCCATTGAACTTAAACACTTAAGAACAGCCAGAAGGTGCTGTCACAACACAGGACTCACCAGGTTTCTTCCCTAAGCTTCCCGTTTTTCCAGCTGCTCCTGGAGCCTGGAAACAGAAAACAAGATGCAAGTTTAGCACTCAGATTTATTTCTCTACTTACACATTAAATTTAACACACTAACCAAGCATGGAAGTAAAAAACCCACAGGAAGATTGTGTTTTTACAGAAATCCTTAATATTTCTGATGGCAATAAACACCTGGGAATAAACCCCAGCAGTGCATGGAAGTGGATGACTCAGTGCAAAAGTGCAGAATCCTCTCCTGAACTTTTACTCCCTTTCATGGACTGCAAATATCAGTGTAAATCCAAATTACATCACACTGGAATTGTGTATCTGGGAATCCACACAGTGGGAATTCTGTCCAGGTGACTTAAACCAACGATAATTGTTTTTAACTCTACAAACAGTTGGATTGCAAATATTCTTGAGAAACTCACTGCACCCAGACAGGGTGGGATGAGGGATCAACATCATCATCACCATCACCATCATCATCTCATCCAGGCCAAGAGACTTGCAAGAAAAGCCTTTGAACAGCCACGAAAAACCCAGTAAACCCCGGAATTAGTCCAGTTCCTGCTCCCTAAATAATTCCTTCCGTTTTCTCCTGGTCCATTAACCCTCTTATCTCCTGCTATAAGAAGGTTTCAGATGGATAACAGCAACAGAAACCTGAACTGAACTTTGGTCAGAAATGTTGGGTCACCATAAATATCCTCTTGCCTTCAACACTTCCACCCTCCTCAGCTTCACCTTCTTCACCTTCAGGAGCCTCCTCACAAACTCCACCCAACAGCCTGAAGGTTCTCTCAGAATCCCAGTTCCTCTGGGGAAAAAGCCACTTTCCTCCTCAGGATTCTCCCTATTAACCTGATGCTTTGAGAACTTGGGGATTCTGGTAGAAACTGATATAAGGAGTAACTGAAAAACAGTTCAGTGGCTGAGAGAACAGGGCTGTTGGAAAACAAAAGAAGTGTGTTGGTTTTGGATGGCTCTATAAAATGGATTATCAGAGATCCTGAACCCCTCCTGGAGTCTCAGTGCTGCTCTCCTGTCCCTGTCACACACCAACTGCAGTCACACTCCACGAGGGCAGCAAACCTTCCTTCCCTCCCTGCACTCCTTTGATCCTCCTCAGTTCCCCACCTTTCTCTACAAACAGGGGGACCTGTCTTAGCAAGAAGAGTGAACCAGGAAAGCATCACCCAGAGATCAAAGACTGAGTTTAGGTCTGGGGACAAGGACAAGGTGGGCTTGACACTCCCACGGGGGGAGGATTAAATGGTGAGCAACAATTCAGATTGAAAAGGGAGTGTTGGGCATTAATTCTGCTTTGGAAAGTGTTTCTTGCAGGGAAACACCCTCAGTGAAAACCCAGGGTTTGGACTTTCAGAGAACACACTCCTCCAAAATAGTCCTGAGTCAACACCCGTGCTGCTGGATTGGAAGCACATCTCTGGGGCTGGGACACTGTCCTGCAGCAACTGGGACACAGAGGGGTTATTGGGTG